ACATATATCCTTCGATTTGCACGAAATTTGGCATATCGTACTCAATTAAGTCTAGAATGGTGTGTGCTAAGTTTCGTGAAAATCGGTTCAGATTTAGATATAGCTCCCATATATAGTTTCGCCCGATTAAAGGTAAACGGTCCCTATATATCTTTCGATTTGCACGAAATTTGGTACAGCGTAATGAATTAGGTCTAGAATGATGTGTGCTAAGTTTCGTGAAAATCGGTTCAGATTTTGATATAGCTCCCATATATAGTGACGCCCGATTTTAGGTAAATGGTGTACCAAAGTCCCTATATATCCTTCGATTTGCACGAAATTTGGCATATCGTACTCAATTAAGTCTAGAATGGTGTGTGCTAAGTTTCGTGAAAATCGGTTTAAATTTAGATATAGCTCCCATATATAGTTGCGACCGATTTTATGTAAATGGTGCACCAAAGTGCCTGCAAATCTTTTGATTTGCACCAATTTTGGCACAGCGTACTGAATTAAGCCAAGAATGATGTGTGCTAAGTTTCGTGAAAATCGGTTCAAATTTAGATATAGCTCCCATATATGGTTTGGCCCGATTTAAAGTAAATGGTGCACCAAAATCCCTATATATCCTTCGATTTGCACGAAATTTGGCATAGGGTACTGAACTGAATGTAGAATGATGTGTGCTAAGTTTCGTAAAAATCGGTTCAGATTTAGATATAGCTCTCATATATATTTTCGTCCGATTTTGGGTAAATGGTACACCAATGTCCCTAAAAATCTTTAGATTTGCACGATTTTTGGCATAGCGTTCTGAATTAAGTGTAGAATGATGTGTGCTAAGTTTCGTGAAAATCGGTTCAGATTTAGATCTAGCTCCCATATATAGTTGCGCCCGATTTAAAATAAATGGTGCAACAAAGTCCCCATACATCCTTCGATTTGCTCGAAATTTTGCATAGCGTACTGAATTAAGTCTAGAATGATGTGTGCTAAGTTTCGTGAAAATCGGTTCAGATTTAGTTATAGCTCCCATATATATTTTCGTCCGATTTAAGGTAAATGGTGCACCAAAGTGCCTGTAAATCTTTTGATTTTTTTTAATTTTTATTTTTTGTTGTTTTTTATTGCATACAGAATTTCTACATAAAATCAGATATAAAAAATAGTTTTAACTTAAATATTTTTTTTTTATAAATTTGGCGATAGCATTTTTGAGTGTTTTCTTCTTCTACATAGTTTTTTTTTTACTTTAACAACAATAATTAACTTATTAACTACAGAAACCTTTTGACTTAATATTAACATATATATAAAAAATTAATAATATTAAAAATATATATATAAAATATATATAAAAAAACAATATACCCAAAAAAATAATTAATTATTAAAAATAATTACAGCCCCCTGTGAGTAATACAATCAAATACGAATTATAACGAAATTTTAGGAGGACAAAATGATTCGAAATTTATTGTCGTTATAATCCCATTTGATTGTATATAAAGTATGTTATATATAAATGGAGTCATATATATAATAAGAATTTGTTGTATATATTCACTATATAATAACTCCACATAGTTATGTCCTGCAGTGTACAAAAAAAAAAAATTACAACAATTTTATTTACTAATAATAATAATTTAATACAGATGTTTTTTTGTAAATGACAAATAATGGGGAAAATAGATTTTTTTTGTAATGTCCTTGAAAGTTAAGCAAATAAAGAGGGGGGTTTGATTTTAAATCCCACTTTTTTTGTGGAATATAAGCAAAGGGGAAAACGAAAAAATAATCGATAAAATTTTATTTTTTATGGATTATCAGATTATCATAAGGGCCTAAAATTTGAATTTTTGGACAAAAAAACTTTTCCCCGTTGAAAAAATAAAAATACCCAATTCGGGGGATAATAAGAAAAACTCGAAAAATGTGATTTTTCAGATCGGGGATGCTCTTAAAGGCTAAATTTAGCATTTTCAACATAAAAAAATTTTCCCCGCTGAAAAAATAAAAATCCCCAAAATTGGGAATTTTTCATATAATGTGACGGGATTTTTATTTATATTCAATTTGCCATGAATTATCACATTTTCGTCATCAAAAGGGACTCAAAATGCATTTTTGAGCAAAAAAAATTTTCCCCGGCGAAAAAAATAAAAATACCCAAATCGGGGGATAATAAGAAAAACTCAAGAAAAGTGCATTTTTACGTGAGGAATGCTTTTAAAGGCTAAATTTAGCATTTTTCATCATAAAAAAATTTCCCCCGCGGAAAAAATAAAAATCCCCAAAATTGGGGATTTTTTATAGCTTGACGAGATTTTTGTTTATATTAAATTTGCCATGAATTATAACATAAAAAATCAGCAAATGTAATTTTTTAAACGCCTAGATTATTCCAAAGGGCCTAAAATTAGAATTTTTGAACAAAAATTTGTTTCCCCGGCGAAAAAAAATAAAAATACCCATATCGGAGGATAGTAAGAAAAAATCAAGAAAAGTGAATTTTTTACGTCAGGAATGCTCTTAAAGGTTAAATTTAGCATTTTTCAACATAGAAAAATTTTCCCCGCTGAAAAAATAAAAATACCCAAAATTGGGGTTTTTTTTATAACTTAATGGGATTTTTGTTTATATGAAAATTTGCCATGAATTCTCACATAAAAAATCAGCAAATGTAATTTTTTAAACGCCTAGATTATTTATAAGGACCTAAAATTAGATTTTTTGAACAAAACTTTTTTCCCCGGGGAAAAAAAATAAAAATACCCAAATTGGGGGATAGTAAGAAAAACTCAAGAAATGTGAATTTTTTACGTCAGGAATGCTCTTAAATGCCAAATTTAGCATTTTTCAACATAAAAAAATTTTCCCCGCCTCAAAAATAAAAATCCCCAAAATTGGGGATTTTTTTAATAAATCGATGGAATTTTTGTTTTATATTAAATTTGCCATGAATTATCACATTTGCTGCATTAAAAGGGACTCAAAATGGAAATTTTAGGAATTTTTACAAAATCCCCAAAGTGGGATTTTTTTTAATCCGATAAAAATTGGATTTTTTATTAAATTTTTGTTTAGCAGAGGTTTTATGAAAACATTTTGTGATGTATTGATCAAATTTTGAATCCCAAAGTACCGATATTCAAAAATCCCCAAAAGTGGGAATTTTTGATTTTTTCACAAAAAATTGATTTTTTTTAATTAAATACTCGGTGGATGTGTTTGTTGTTTGTAATTATAAAAATGATTTTTTTTTTCAAAAATTTTTCCAACATTTCATAAAATCCCCAAAATTGGGGATTTTTTTAATTCCACAAAAATGGAATTTTTTAACTAAATTTCTTAAGGGATATAATAAAAAAATGTTTGTCGTAATAAAAATTACTTATTTTAAAATTTCTTTCAAAATTTCACAAAATCCCCAAAGTGGGGATTTTTTCTAATTCGTTAAAAATTGAATTTTTTAATAAAATTTTTGCTTGGTGGATGTTTTATGATCAATTTTTGTGGTGTTTTGATCAAATTTAAATCCCAAAGGGTTGATTTTCAAAAATCCCCAAAAGTGGGAATTTTTAATTTTTTACAAAAAATTGAATTTTTAATAAACATTTTTAGTGGGTGTAAAATAAAAATGTTTGTAATTATAAAAATTATTTTTTTCAACAGTTCCCCTTTAATATTTTAGATAATCCCCAAAGTGGGGATTTTTTTTAATTCGTTAAAAATTGGATTTTTTTAATAAAATTTTTGCTTGTGGATGTTTTATGGCCTTTTTTTGTGATATTTTGATCAAATTTAAATCCCAAAGGGCTGATTTTTAAAAATCCCCAAAATTGGGAATTTTTAGTTTTTTTACAAAAAATGGGATTTTTAATAAATTTTTTTTGTGCATGTAAAATAAAAATGTTTGTAATTATAAACATTATTTTTTTAATATTTCCCCATTAGATTTTACAAAATCCCCAAAGTGGGGATTTTTTTTAATTCGATAAAAAATTGGATTTAAAAAAAAAATTGGTTTAGCAGAGGTTTTGTGAACAATTTTTGTGATGTTTTGATCAAATTTAAATTTCAAAAGGGCTGATTTTCAAAAATCCCCAAAATTGGGAATTTTCAATTTTTTACAAAAAATGGGATTTTTTATAAATTTTTTTTTGTGGATGTAAAATAAAAATTTTGTAATTATAAAAATATTTTTTTCAACAGTTCCCCTTTAATATTTTACAAAATCCCCAAAGTGGGGATTTTTTTTTTAATTCGTTAAAAATTGGATTAAAAAAAATTGGTTTAGCAGAGCAGATTTTGTGAACAATTTTTGTTTTGATCAAATTTAAATCCCAATGTGCAGATTTTCAAAAATCCCCAAAAGTGGGAATTTTTGATTTTTTTTACAAAAAATGGGATTTTTAATAAAATTTTTTAGTGGATGTAAAATAAAAATGTTTGTAATTATAAAATTTTTTTCAAAATTTCTTCCAACATTTCACAAAATCCCAAAAGTGGGGATTGATGATTTTTTCAACATTTTCCTTTAAAAATTTTACAAAATCCCCAAAGTGGGGATTTTTTTTAATTCGATAAAAATGGGATTTTTTATAAAATATTGCTTAGTAGATGATTTATGAGTAAATTTTATAATGTTTTGATCAAATTTAAATCCCAAAGGGTCGATTTACAAAAATCCCCAAAAGTGGGGATTTTTAATTTTTTACAAAAAATTGTTTTTTTTTCAAAGATTTTTGTTTGGTGGATGATATTTGGGGTATAAAATCACATTTTTTCAAATTAAATTGTCATTACTTTCAAGGACATTACAAAAAAAATTTTAAAAAATAGAATATCCAACTTTAGTTTTCATTTTCTAAGTGTAAAAAAATTCTAATTTTTTTTTTCAAACTAAAAACAAAAATAAAATTAAAAAAATTTGCGCGTAAATTTTTCTCTCGGTATATGTTTGGCAATAAAAATAAAATTGGAATGCGTCTAATGGGTGTGGACTGCCCTCCTCATTTCTTATAGCCATATTCATTAATGGCTTCATATTCCTTCTCAGCCTGTACCAGCAGCTTATACCATTGATCGCCGTTGAAGCGGGGCTCTTTACGGGTACCACCATAAACGGCGGGCAGAATTTCCGGACTCATGTGTTTGTACAACGATTGGCGATCTGTACCATGGAAATAGATACGTGATCGCAATTTCTCTCTCAAGAACGGTTTGAAAAGGGAGAAGACCACATTGAAGATTTTCGGTTGATTAACAACGTGGATGGCCTTGACACGCAATGGCACGGAATCCTGCAACCAATCGACAATACGTTTAGCAAAGGCTGGGGTAAATTGCCAGGTCTGCTGTAAACTCAAGCCATCCATATCGAAAATGACCACAACGCCATTGATTTGAGTTTCCGGTTCCCACATGGCAGCCTCCAGATAGAGGACAGCTGCCTTGAAGACCTCATCCAAGACGACCTGCTTGTGTTTCCAATTTTCTGGAAAGCAAAAAAAAAAAAAAAATTATTAAAATTTTGAATTTTCAAAATGTTCTTGGCGTTCACTTACTTCCCAATTCCAATACGGCCACACGCCTACCCAATTGGTCACGATTCGGAAATACCACAATGACATTGTGATCGAATACATTTTTTTCATTGCTGGGCTTCAGATCCTTATAGACATCGGCATGTTTCAATTTAAAGGAATAATAGTTTTTGATCTGAAATCGAAATTAAAAAAAAAAAAATTAAAAAAAAAATTCAAAACTTGGAAATGTGTTCGGATTACTTACCAGCTTAAAGGCACTGTCAGGATAGTATTTGCAGACGCGGAGGAAACGCAATAAAAATAGGTCATCACGGGGACATTTTAAATCGGGTTCTCCTAAAAATAAGAAAAAAATAAAATTTTTTAAAAAATTTCATAAAAATTAAAAAAATTCCCAATTTCTGGGGAAAATAAATTCCCCCAGAAAATGTATAAAAATGAAATTTTTTCAAATTGTTAATATTCAAAATGTCGGAGGAAAAATATTTCTCTCAAAATTTTCTACAATTTTAAAAATTTTTAGCAAAATTCCAAAAATCCCCAATTTCTGGGGAAAATAAATACCCCAAGAAAATGTATAAAAATGAAATCTTTTCAAATAGTTTTTATTCCAAATATCGGAGGAAAAAGATTTCCCTCGAAATTTACTACAATTTTAAAAATTTTTCAAAATTTCAAAAAATCCCCAAAATCTGGGAAAAATAAATTTCCCGGGAAAAGTTATTAAAATTAAATTTTTTAAATTGTATTTATTCACAATATGTGAAGAAAAATATTCGCTTCAAAATTTACTAAAAAATTTTAATATTTTGCAAAATTTCAAAAAATTCCCAAATTCTGGGGAAAATAAATTTCCCAGGAAAATTTATTAAAATTACATTTTTTCAAATTGTATTTATTCACAATATCTGGTGGAAAACTATTTTACCAAAAAATGCAATAAAATTCAAAAAATTTTGAAAATTTTCAAAAAATACCCAATTTCTGGGGAAAATGAATTTCCCGGGAAAATGTATTAAAATTCAAAATTTTTATATAATTTTCTATTCACAATATCTGCGGAAATATATTCTCATAAAAATTTACTACAATTTTAAAAAATTTTGCAAAATTTTAAAAAATCCCCAATTTCTGGGGAAAATGAATTTCCCGGGAAATGAATTAAAATTCAAAATTTTTATACAATTTTCTATTCACAATATCTGCGGAAATATATTCTCATAAAAATTTACTACAATTTTAAAAAATTTTGGCAGAATTTCAAAAAATCCCCAATTTCTGGGGAAAATACATTTCCCGGGAAAATGAATTAAAATTCAAAATTTTTATATAATTTTCTATTCACAACATCTGCGGAAATATATTCTCATAAAAATTTACTACAATTTTAAAAAATTTTGCAAAATTTCAAAAAATCCCCAATATCTGGCGAAAATAAATTTCCCGGGAAAAATTATTAAATTTAAATTTTTTTCATATTGTATTTATTCACAATATGTGGAGAAAAATATTCGCTTCAAAATTTACAAAAAATTTTAATATTTTGCAAAATTTCAAAAAAATTTCCAAATTCTGGGAAAAAAAATTTCCCGGGAAAATGTATTAAAATTATATTTTTTTCACATTGTATTTATTTACAATATCTGGTGGAAAACTATTTTACCAAAAAATGCAATAAAATTCAAAAAATTTTGAAAATTTTCAACAAAATCCCCAATTTCTGGGGAAAATGAATTTCCCGGGAAAATGTATTAAAATTCTAAATTGTTTAACAATTTTCTATTCACAATATCAGGTAAAAAAAATTCGCCTTGAAATGTACTAAATTTTTTTAAATATTTTGGACAATTTCAAAAAATCCCCAATTTCTGGGGAAAATTTATTTCCCGAAAATATGTATTAAAATTAAATTTTTTAAATTGTATTTAGCCGCAATATGGGGAGAAAAATATTTGCCAAAAAATTTTTAATACATTTTGCAAAATTTCAAAAAAATCCCCAATTTCTGGGGAAAATAAATTTCCCGAGAAAAAATGGCAATCTCACAAAAATTAAAATATTTAATATCGAAACGAAAATATTTCCCACAAAATGCATAAAAAAATAAAAATTTTTAAATTTTTGGAAAAAAATTAAAAATCCCCAATTTCTGGGGGTAATTTAATTTACCAAGCAAATGTAGTAAAATCGCAAAAATTTATTATAAAAGTTAAATCCATAATATCTTGATATATATAAAATTAATTTTTTTTCCAAAAAAATCAATAAAATTTCCAAAATTTTAAAAAATCCCCAAAATCTGGGGAAACATTTTAAAAACTGAAAATACCACAAATTATGGCCAATTTGATAATAAATGCATGCAGAAGGATTAATAATTCAAAATCATGATTTCCAATCATGTTTCATTCGCTTTTATTTCAAAAATCCCGCAAATGTGGGGAAAATAAATTTCCCCAGAAAAATCGCTAAAATTTAATTTTAAAATAATTTAAAAAAAATCAAAGCATTTGAGACAAAATATTTGCCTCAAAAAAGTATTTCCTTTAAAATTTTACAAAAATTCCCCAATTTTGGTGGAAAATTATTTCCATTAGAAAAATCCCCAAAAGTGGGGAAATCTATTTTTTACGAAAAATTGCACTAAAAGGGCAAAAATCGCAAGGTATATAGTTCAAAAATTGAAAGAATTTATTTATAAACAATTTTTTTATATTTTGTTATGAAAATTTTTTAAAATAGCAAAAATGCCCAAAAGTGGGGAAAAATATTTTCCATGGAATTTGACCGAAAATGGCAACATTGATAAAAAAAATCTACTATAGAATAAAAATAACTTATTTATAAAACTTGAATCAGTAATTTTTATGAATTTTTAAGAAAATTAGAAAAATCCCCAAAACTGGGGAAATCTATTTTTTCCAAAAAATTGCACTAAAAAGGGAAAAAATAGCAAGGACTATAGTTACAAAATAAAAAGAATTTATTTATAAACAAATTTTTTATAAAAATTCTTTTCAAATAAAAAAATGCCCAAAAGTGGGGAAAAATATTTGCCATGGAATTTTATCAAAAATGGCAACATTTATAAAAAAAAATCTACTATAGAATAAAAAAAACTTATTTTTAAAACATTAATCAGTACTTTTTATGAACTTTTAGGAAAATTAGAAAAAATCCCCAAAACTGGGAAAATCTATTTTTCTGAAAAATAACTCAAAAATGGCAATATTAGCAATGAATATAGTACAAGCATATGTATTACTTGTTTTTAAAACATTTTTCATTATTGATTTTATAAAATTCCTTGAAATAAAAAAAATCCCCAAAAGTGGGGAAAAATAATTTTTCCCAAAAAATCGCTGAAATGGCAATTCTAACAAAAAAATAATATAGCGGAATAGAATAAAATATTTATCAAAAATTAATCTGAATATATTTTTCCGAATTTTTAACAAAATTAGAAAAATCCCCAAATCTGGGGAAATCTATTTTCCATAAAAATATCACTAAAATACAATATTAGCAAAAAAGAAGTACAATCATATGTGTTATTTGTTTATAAACCATTTTCAATACTGTTTTTATAGAATTCTTTAAAATAACAAAAAATCCCCAAAAGTGGGGAAAAATAAATTTCCCCAAAAAATCGCTTGAATGGCAACTCTGACATAAAATAATGTACCAGAATAAAATAAAATATTTATCAAACATTTTTTTTTTTGGATATTTTTGCGACTTTTATACAATTTTAGAAAAAAATCCCCAATTCTGGGGAAACCTATTTTTTTCGAAAAATTGCAAAAAAGGGCAAAAATATCAAAGAATAAATTACAATAATATCTAATATTTGTTTTTAAAACATTTTTCAATACTGTTTTTATAGAATTCTTTAAAATAACAAAAAATCCCCAAAAGTGGGGAAAAATAAATTTCCCCAAAAAATCGCTTAAATGGCAACTCTGACATAAAATAATGTACCAGAATAAAATAAAATATTTATCAAACATTATTTTGGATATTTTTCCGATTTTTTTACAATTTTAGAAAAAATCCCCAATTCTGGGGAAACCCATTTTTTTTCGAAAAATTGCAAAAAAGGGGCAAAAATAGCAAAGAATAAAATACAATAATATGTGTTATTTGTTTATGAAGCATTTTCAATCATGATTTTATAAAATTCTTTAAAATAACAGAAATACCCAAAAGTGGGGAAAAATATTTTTTTCCCAAAAATCGCTGAAATGGCAACTCTGACATAAAATAATGCACCAGAATAGAATAAAATATTTATCAAATATTATTTTGGATATTTTTCCGATTTTTATAAAATTTTAGAAAAAATCCCCAAATCTGGGGAAAACCCATTTTTCGAAAAAGAGCACTAAAATGGAAATATTGGCAATGAATATAGTAACAGCATATGTATTATTTGTTTTTAAAACATTTTTCAATATTGATTTTATAAAATTCTCTAAAATAACAAAAATTCCCAAAAGTGGGGAAAAATACTTTTTCCAAAAAAAAAAAAAAAAAAAAATCACTAAAATGGCAACTTGGACAAAAAATAATGTACCAGAATAGAATATAATATTTATCAAACATTATTTTGGAAATTTTTCCGATTTTTATACAATTTTAGAAAAAATCCCCAAATCTGGGGAAACCTATTTTTTTCATAAAAATATCATTAAAATGGCAATATTAGTAATGAATATAGTACAACCATATGTATTATTTGTTTTTAAAACATTTTTCATTATTGATTTTATAAAATTCTTTAAAATAACAAAAATCCCCAAAAGTGGGGAAAAATAAATTTTCCCCAAAAAATCGCTGAAATGACAACTCTGACATAAAAAAATTTACCAGAATAGATAAAAATATTTATCAAACATTACTTTGAATGTTTTTCCGATTTTTATACAATTTTAGAAAAAATCCCCAAATCTGGGGAAACCTATTTTTTTATACAAATATCACAATATTGGAATATAAATAAATAAAATATAGAATAAAATACAATAATATGTATTATTTGTTTTTAAAACATTTTTCATTATTAATTTTATAAAATTCTTAAAAATAACAAAAAATCCCCAAAAATGGGGAAAAATATTTTCCCCCAAAAATCGCTGAAATGGCAACTCTGACATAATATAATGTACCAGAATAAAATAAAATATTTATCAAACATTAAGTTGGATGTTTTTCCGATTTTTATACAATTTTAGAAAAAATCCCCAAAAGTGGGGAAAAATATTTTCCAAAAAATAAAAAACGCTGAAATGACAACTCTGACATAAAATAATGTACCAGAATAGAATATAATATTT